TGTAACAAGCAGCTGGATCTCAGAACCCCCTCTGAAAACCCTCAGGAAAGGGCTGGGGCTAGCTGAAAAAAAAATCTCCACCGGTGGCCTGGTGAGCAGCACGGAAACGTGCCCGTGGGCCTCTCCTCGAGCGGGGAGAGCAGACCTCCACAGGCGCTCACCGTCAGGCAGTTCCACAGCTCATCTGCCTGTTCCTCTCGCCGCTGCAGTCAGGAGCCATTCCAGGTTTTTTCTGGGGAGATTCAGAAATACATGCAGGCAGCAGGCTCCTATAGTCTGTCATGGGGGGAGGGTTTGCATTTTCCGAGGTTTTAACGGCTTCATTTTGATTGGATGCAATAACCAGCAGTTCTTCCTTTTTTGTAGGTTCACGGTCTGGCCGAGCGAGCAGAGTTTCCTTAGTCAGAGGTGACAACTGCAGTTGTGGTTCCCTGACCGTTCGGCGCCGACTCCATCCGTGTGCTGCCAGGGCTGGGTCAGACACGGGCACCCGGCGGTGCGCGGGGTTAGCCAGGGCACGCCACCCACACCCAGCGCGGGTTGTCGTACTCGCCCACGTCCACCCGGCGGGACCGCGCCGATGACACCGTGTGCTTCGCCATGGCCGCCCGCCGCCGCCGCTCCCACCGCCCAGCCGCGCGCTGAGGGGACGGGGCCGCCCGGCCGCGACGCCAAGGGGCGGTGCGGTGCGACGGCTGCCATTGGTCGGCTGCCAGTGGGGGGCCGTTCCCCGGGCAGATCGGCGGCTCCCATTGGTCAGCGGCCAGCGGTGGGAGGGGCGTTGCCCGGGCGAGGGGCTCAGCGTCCGGTCGCCGTGGTTACGGACGCGGCGTTCCCGCCCAAGTCCCAGCGGTCGCGGATCGGGCCGGTGCCCCCAGACGCGGTCGCCGCCGGGCGCCGGGCGAGCGGGCGGGTCTCCTGGCCGAGCCCAGTCAGCGAGCCTTCCCCGCGGACCCGGAGGCAGTGCGCCATGCCGTGCGGCATCAGATTAGGTCGCTGTTTCAGACGGGTACGAGCAAGGCAGGAGCCCCCCCCCCTCCTCACAGTCCCGGGCGGGGCGGGGCGGGGGGGGGGGCGGGGGGGGGGGCGGGGGGGGGGGGCAAGGAACGGGGGGGAGTGCCAACGGACGGGGTGCCCGGGCTCTGAGCGCGAAACTCCGAGCTCTAAACACCGCTTTGTTCCTCCAAGAGTTAAAAAAGCAGCACTGGCTTCACGTTTCTTGTAAAAAAGAAGCGATCCCCCCCACACGCCAGCGCGGACTCCCACGTACCAGTGGCATGATCAAGATGAGGGGGGAAATGATGAATTTAACAGCACTATCAGCTCTTAACTGGCCTTCCTTGCTTGGTTCTTGTGCCTGGTCTCCTCAGAACAGCCAGTAGCCATTCACTTCACGTCAGCGCTACGGCAGGTTAGGGTCTGGAAGAAGAATGGATGCTTTCAATCTAGAGCCTTGAGTTCTGATATGAAAAGAAAAAAAAAAAAAATCTGGGCAGCTGTTTGGAAAGTGTTGCGATTAGTCCATCCGAGTTCCATTTCGCTTAGTCCATCTGTTGAGATGTTATGAAAACGTGAGCTTTGCAGACGGCAGTGCCTGAACTCTCGGTGGCCTCTCATTTGCGTCTCCCTCGGCACGTGCCTAAGCTGCGTGTAAGAATTGTCGCTGAGGAGCACAGGCTTTATTCTCTCGTTTCTGACTGCGTTTCAGTGCTGCAGCATTGTAATTTGCCGTGTGGAGTTTGTTTGCGCTGTGCAGTCTTTGTCTAAAGAATTGTTCATCTGCACTCTGAATGTATTTCGCAAATTAATACTGTAGGAAAGACTGGCATAATTCACCCGGCAGCAGTCGGTGACACCTCTCTAAATTGTTTTAATCATTAACTGCATGCTGACGTAGCACCTAATTCACCTGGCTTCTCGGCTTTATATATTATACAAGTTTGTTGACACTCCTTTAAATTTACTTGACTTGCATTTAGAAATGAGTCTCGGAGAGGGAGAGCCTATAATTTACACTTTCTTCTGATCTCGTTGTGTACATCTCAGTTCTTAGAAACTGGTATCTGTGGCACCTTTATGGAGTGAAAGAATTAGCAGCAGGATGAGTTCACCTTTTGAAGACCTTTGCCCGGCGCAGGGCCGTGTGTCTCCTTTCACTTACGGTTTCAGGCGCTCGTGGCGACCGCGTGGGCCTTGAGCCGCCTCACGTCAGAGGGACCGGGCTGGGACAGCAGCGTGCAGGGCTGCGAGGGGGGGGGCAGCTGCCAGGCCTCCAACTCGCCCCATCGCTTGGCAAACACAACGGGTTTAGGATCAATCGCTTCCTAGCAAGTGGGTCTGAAAATTCAACAGACCGAAGGGGAGTGTCGTTTGTGATACTTGAGCATTAGCTCCGATTTTGGCCTTGCAGCTGGTGGGTACGCTAGGTCAAGAAGGCATTGTGTTAGTGCGTAACAAACTCCTGACAAACCCTCTGAACACCACAGAGGAAATGAAAACAGTAGGCCACGAGATAGGAAAACAAAACAACACGTAAGGGTTTTGAACCAAGTGACAGCTTTGCTCAGCCAGCCCTGTTCTGCTTTCACTTACTGGCTTTTACGCTTTCTTTTCCGTACTAGATTGTTTCTAGGCTCCGCGGTGCTCACCCACAGCACACCCACCAAGGAGCAACCCAAATGTGCTCTGAGTGGGAGCTCTGGTGAAAGCACCAACTCAGCCAGTGAGTTCAGTCACTCAGAAGCTGAAGGTGTCTTCACCACTGCCATGGGCACTCCTGATGAGCCTCAGGAACAGGTACGGCCTGGGCCTTGCTGCCGGGGTAAGTAGCCTGTGAGAGACTCTTGATCCCGCAGGCAGGCCCTAAACGCTTGCCTGAGCCTGCTGGTCTTGACTACAGCACTGCTTTTAGTGGCTTGGAGAGACTCCAGAAATAAATGTGTAAAAATTGAATCAATCCAGTCGGGCTCTTTGCACAAAGCCTTCTAAGTTGCCACGGTAGAAGGCAGACTGAAGTTTTCTTTCTCTGAAACCGGATTTTCTTGTGATGCCTGGCAGTGGAGAAGCAAGAGGTTAATTTTTCTTTCAGTCCCTCATTGTGCTTTTTCTGAGGGATGGGGCAGGCTAAAGGCATTTCTACCTTCAAGCCTGTGGGAATTGGGGTGAGGAGCCTGAGCACCATGCTCACTCCTGGCACGTGGCAGCATGACGTTAGCAGTGACATGGCCAAGAGGCTCTGTAAGCCCCACAAACAAAGCAAAAGAAACAGGAGATGGGATCAGCTGAAGAGAGGAGTAAGATCAACAAGAAGGGACGTGGTGACGGGCAGTCGGACTTGTGAGGAGGAGTTGCTGCAGCTGCGTGAACACCAAGGTCAGTGGAGGAACGGAGGAAGAAAGGAGGGGGGAGGTGTGCCGGAGCAGAGACCCCCCTGTATCCTGTGGTGAGACGGCAGGGCGGCCCCCCCCTGCCACCCATGAAGATCTACGGTGGAGCAGACACTGATTTATGGCCTGTTGCTCCTGCTCGGATCGATCAAGGTTCTGTGCCCGAAGAAGGCCGGGTCTCAGTGGGAAAAGGCAGCCCCGCTGCTGTAATTCAGTGCTGGGAGGATTGCAGCATGCGGGGGAGTCCCACGCCGGAGCAGCTCGGGAAGGGCTGCAGCCGTGGGAGGGAATCCAGTCGGAGGAAGTTAGTGACCCATGACGGAGCAGTGTGGGGAACGCTGCGGCCCATGGGAGGAATTCAAGTCGGAGAAAGTTTGTGGAGGACTGTCTCCTGTGAGAGGGGGACCACGATGGAGCAGGGGTAACAAGTTTCGGACACTCCCCTCACCGAAGATGAAGGAAGTGGCAGCACTGACTGCACCCCCCATTCCCTGCCCCTGCGCCCACTGGGGGAGGAGGTAGAGATATCGGGAGCAGAGCTGAGCCCGGGAAGAAGGGAGGGGTGGGGGGAAGGTGTTCTCAAGATGTGGCAATGCTTCTCACTGTCTTACTCTGTTATGTGTTGTTAGTGTCTGTAATAAATGTATGTTCTTTTTTTCTTCCCCTAACGAGTCTGCCTTTTGCTCGTGATCATAAAGGGGAATTTTTCCCCATCCCAGTCCTATCTCGAACCCCAAGCCTGGCTCTCTGTCCCTTCTCATTGCCTGAGGGGAAGGGAGAGAGAGCTGCTGCATTGCGGTTGGCTGCCAACCAGGCCTAAACCACGACACCGTCTCGCCACAGAATACAGGAGGGTCTCTGCTCCGGCACACCTCCCCCCTTTTCTTCCTCCGTTCCCCCACTGACCTTGGTGTTCACGCAGCTGCGGCAAGTCCTCCTCACGAGTCCCACTCCTCCTCACCAGGTCCCTTCTTAAATGCGTTATCGCAGAGGTGGAGCTGCCTGGCTCGGCCCTGCTGCAGAGGTAGGGCCTGCTTGGAGCCGGGGGAGCTTCGAGAAGCTTCTCAGAGAGGGCCAGCGCTGTCGTCCCCTCCCCTGCTACCAAAAAACCCCACCGCTCCCTCAAAGCCAGGACAAGCTGGTACAGCAGCACCCACGGTGGGCAACAGGAGCTGGAACTGGGGAAGGGCAATGCCCTTTGGCTACGACTGTAGCAGCACCATCTGCAGCAACCTTCATGTCACACCTCCAGAGGTGACTCTGAGGGGAACTTTTAAAGCAGAGGCGCTTTGCCGCTTGTGCGTTCGAACTTTCCCCGGGGAAGCGGAGCAGGCTGCGGGGCCAGCGAGGCCCGAAGCCCACGGCCATGGCGCTGGGCAGCCGGCCAAGGCCAGCCCGCGAGGAGGGAGGTCTGGGGAAGGTGCTGCCGAGCCCCGGGGAGAAGACAACCCTGTGGGCCCAGCCCCTAACGCTGCCCCTCGGGAAAGGGAGGGGAGGCGGAAGCCAACAAAGGAGCGTGGAATCTCCCAGGGCAGAGATTAACGGCCAACTTTATTGGAGCGGTGGAGGGGGATCAGGGCCAGCAGGCAGGGCCGGCGCAGGGCTGGTCGCGCGTCAGCGTCCGGGCCGGCGGCTGTAAGGGTTCTGGGCCCGACGTCGTAAGTGGGAACGGTCTCGTCCCCGCACGGGCCCGGGGCGGCTGGGGCGGCGGCTGCTCTGGAGCCCTGCAGAGCTGGGGGAGGACCCCGCTGGCAGCTGGCTGGCGGTGCTGGGGCTGCCGGTCTTGGGTACCGGGGAGCCACGGGAGCATCCCGGCACCGACTGTGCAGGGCTGCTGCTCTCAGCCCTCGGTGCTGGTGCGCGGCTGCTGCCACGGCGTCTTGTGCGCCGGCTGTAGGGCTTTTGGGCCCGACGCTGCGAGCGAGAGCGGTCTCGCATGCGGTCGGGCCCAGGTGGGCTGGAGCAGCTGCTCTCAGGCACTGGGGAGCCTTGGGACAGCCCCGATGTTGCATGGAGACCAGTGCTGCTGGGGCTGCTGCTCTCCAGTTCTGTGAAGCTGGTGGAGGACCCCAATGCCACCATGCTGCTTGTGCTGGGGCTGCTGGTCTCTGGTGCTGGAGAGCTGTGGGACGGCCCCGATCCTGACTGGCTCTCCGTGATGGGACCCGCGACCTCCGAGCTTCCACTGGAGGCTGTAAGGGGAAGCAGGAAGGTCACGGGCACAGCCCCCCAGGCCCACGGCAGGAGAGGCCAGAGCGGTGCCCCCAGCCCCCCTGGAGCAGAGGGCTCTGCCAAGCCCAGAATGGGCACCCGCTGCCAGGCATCGCCTGGGGGCACCCGGGTGCTTTGCCTCTTACCGGTGCCCAGGCCAGCACAGCTGTCACACTCCCATATGGCCGTGTCGGTCCCCAAGTGGGAGCAGCGTCTGTGGGTGCCCTCGGCAGCGCAGGAGCAGCACAGGAGCAGTTGCCAGGGCCTGGGGAAGCAAACGGGTGCGTGGCTGTGAGGACAAAGTGACCGCAGCACGGGATTGTCCGGCAGAGCTCTTGTTCTCCGTCCCTCCGCTTCGAGCCCTTGGCGAGACAGAGATCCTGGGCAGAGCCCAGGTTGCCGCTCGGGCAACTTACCCCTGTTGCTCTGCGTGCTGCCTGCCTCCTGGGCAAAGGCACTCACGGGCATCGCAGCAGCTGCGCCTCTCATTTTGTTCATCATCTGTGTGCCCGTCGTCCCATGATGGCAATCTGAAGCACAAGGGAAAATGGCTGAGCCCCTGCTGCCCCGGCATAAGGCAGATGCAGGGCGTCCCTGCTCTCCTCCCCCTGCCCGCTTTCTGACTCCTGCGTGAAGCTGAAGCCCAGGCTGAGGGGAGAGAGCGGAGGGCCGGGAGCGCAGGGGCAGTCCCTGGCACGGCACAACGCTGGCACCCTCCTGTCTGGTGCGGCGGGCAGGACACCAACCTGTAGATGATTCGGATGCCCATGGTGAGCATCTCCGTGAGAAATGCATGCCTATCTCTACAGAGAGGGCACTGGAAGCAAATGCCGGCGTGCGCAGCCTGTCCCTGCAGGGGAAACATGAGGAGCAGGCGTGAGGCCTTGGTGCTGCTGGGCGCCCGCCGTGCCCCCCCCGTGGGCGAGGGAAGGGCTCCTACCTGGATGCAGGCCCTGTGGAACCAGGCTTGTTTGCACGCTGGGCACACCATGGTGCCGTAGGACTTCCTGTCCTCCACAGGGTCCAGGCAGATGTGGCAGGGGGTGTTCTCCCCCGGAGCCGCCTCCACTGCCTGCTCTGGGCGGTGCTGCCAGCAGAAGGACCTGGGGAGGCAAGAGGAAAGGGCAGGGTGAGGTGAGGAGTGTTCTGGTGGGAATGATGGGTGATAATGTGTGAAGGAATCCCACCACTTGCTCTGTCCATGACTGTCTGCTAGGAAGTGTCACTGTGGGCTTGTTTTATGTTTGCTTATTGATGCTGTCAGAAAGGGGTATAAAAAAGTGGGTGATCCTCCTGTGGGAGGGCCGGCTACCCTTACCTGTAAAGCCCAAAGAACTGCGTGACGCATTCCCCCTCCACGGCGCAGGGGAGGTGGAAGCTGCGGTCGCAGCCCTCCTGGTAGCAGGTGATGGCGGCCCCGCTCTCGCCACAGACGAAGCAGCGCTGGAAAGAGCAGAGCAGCCCCCATCAGCGGCAGCCTCAGGGCCTCCACAGCCAGCCCCACGCCTCCGGGCAGGGCGCAGGATGCGGCCCCACTGCTGGGTCAGAGCCCGCGGATGCGCCCGGCGTACGAGGCTCCTGTGCTGGGTCTGGGTGGAGGCTCTGTGGAGCTGCTGGGTGTGAGACTTTTGTCCCAGAGCTGCTTGGAAGGGCTGGGATTTCTTTCTTGGGATCTGGGCTAAGCTCCCACACCGCTCCCGTGGCACCACAGATCTCCCTGAGATTGCCCAGTTCTTACCTGCTGCCCTGCCTGCTTGACTGTGTGGCGAATATCCCTCAGGGGAATACCATCAGGCCCACGTTGTCGGCCTCTTGCTGGACGAGGCCGTTGGCAAAAAACTGCACAGGAAAGACAAGACAAGGAGGTGATGAGGAGAGCAGCGTGGCCGGGGCTGCCTGTCGGCAAGCTGGAGGGAGCCCCGGGGGCACTCACCAGGCAAAAGAGGTGGGCGCAGAGCCCTCGCTTCTGTAGTTTGTACCCGCAGATGTCCGGATCAGCCAGTAGATGTACCCGCAGTGCTGGGGTGTCTCTCCCAAGTGCTCCTCGGCTGACTCTGGGGGAGAAGCAGGGTGCGGGTCAGCTTGCAGCAGAGGCCCAGCGCCCCCAGGCACGGGGCCGCCCTCCTCCCTCGGCAGCCCCGCACGAGCCCCGTCCACCCCTGCCCTCACCTCACCAGGTCGCACTGAGGCACAGCCTGAGCCCAGCGATGCTTTATGTAGGCTTGTCCCCCGCGGGTCACAATGGCCACAGTGACATCAGCACCGTTGGCCTGGATGCACCCCAACGACGGGCAGGGACGCCCTCAGGAACGTGCCAGCCCCTCGGAGCCGGCCGCCGCCTCACAGGGGTGGGTGCGAAGTGCCGAGGCGGGGGCCCGAGCCCTCGGCACCCCCGGGAGCGGGACGGCTGCTCCTGCAGCCAGCGCAGAGCCGAAAGGCAGGTCCCGCGGGGCAGCCGTCGAGGGTGGCACTGTTGGTCCAACGGTGTGGTCAGGCCGTGCGAGCCCAGGGCTCCAGCCCTGGCCCAGGCTGCGGCTCTGCTCCTGCCCTCGGCATGGGGAGCGCTGCCGGCAGGTCGGGGAAGGGGATCCTTCCTCTCTGCGCCGCAGCGCTGCGGCTGCACCTGCAGGGCTGCCGCCGGCCCTGGGCTCCCGGCTCCAGGATGGCAGCAAATTTGCCGGCAGCAAATTTGCCGGCAGCAAATGGCTGCGGGGCAGCTTCGGCGGCGGTTTGGTCCGTTTGAGGGTCGGGAGGCTCTACAGAGGCATCTGCCCAGGCCGGGTCGATGGGGCGAGTTTTGCCAAGCACCGCAACGGGCTGCCCAGGGAAGGGCTTGAGTCACCATCCCTGGAGGAATTTAAGAGACGTGTAGCCGTGGCACCTGGGGACATGGTTTAGCGGTGCCCTTGGCAGCGTTGTCCATGTCAACGGCTGGGCTCCGTGATCGTAAGGGTCTTTTCCAACCTAAGGGATTCTGTGATTCTCGTGACCCTTCTGTGATTGCTTCATGACCGTTTGATTACCATTTGCTTTTCATTCATTCGTCGATTCACAGCCCTTTCTCCTCCCTGCACTAGAGAGAGAGGGGCTTGCTGGTCTCCAGCAGGAGGGAAATCCTTCCTGTTGGATGACGGACGCAGCCCAGGCCCAGTATTACATTCCCGTAGAGCACGTGTGACTTTTTGCTCTCAAGGGCGCGTGACGGGGCTCGAGGCCTGAGTAACAAGCGCTGCTCTGTCTCCCCTGAGCCTTGCGGTGTCAGCTCCTTACCTGGTGTTGGCAACCTCTACGCAAAAGGCTTTCTTGTCTTCTGCTGCAAGAAGGAAGCCTTTGGTTGTGTCGTGGTTTGAGCTCAGAGGGCACAACTGAGCAGCTGCTCTCACTCCCCCTCTGCCTCCCCCACCCCCCAAGGCACTGAGAAGGAGGAAATAAGCCAGGCTTGGGATTCGAGATAGGACAGGCAGGGGTAAATCAGCCATTATGGTCACAGGCCAAAGGCAAGACTCATTAAGGGAAGAAAAATAGAACATAGATTTATTACAGACACTAGCAACAACCACACTAAACCGAGTAGGAGAGTGAGAAGCATCACCATATGTAGAAAAACACCTTTGCCCCACCCACCCACCCCTCCCTTCTTCCCGGGCTCAGCTCCGCTCCGGATATCTGTACGTCCCCCCGCAGCGGCACAGGGGCAGGGAATGGGGGTTCAGGAGAAACGATGGCAAGGGTATGTGAGTGGGAGAAACGTGCTTGCTCTCGCTGGCTGCATTCCCTTGGGACGCCAAACCGATGCGTGCAATTTGGTGTTGTTTAGTTGGGTTTTCTTTTAAATGAAAAGTTTGTGCTTCTTATTTGGACCTTATCGGGATGGGAACTTCCATCATGGCCGAGAGGAGGGCAGCTGGGGTCAGGCGGACAAATGCCACGAAGGGCTGCTGAAGGAAATCCAGCTCTCCTACGAGCACGTCAGATGCTTCAGCCCCGGTGGGAATTTTCTTCATGAAGTGCAGCTCCGCCTGGGCACGACAAGTGATTTTCAGGCAATTACTCCAAAAGCAAAGCCCACAGCACTCTGCAGCATGCTCTCCAGCCAAGTTTGCAAGAGCAAATCTGGCCCTAAAGGCATAAGAAAGCTATGAGTGTCTCACCTTGCTTAAATCCATTAAGCTGGTCTCACGGTTCACCCCGTTTTTATCTCCTGCAGTGGTGGCAGCATGAGGGGTGAGTGTTTGGGCTGGTGGGAAAAAGAAAGACACACAGAAAAATGGGAAAAAGAGCAATTGGGATGCCTCTCTTTTGCCAGGAATAGCCTAATGAGGACAAAGACCAACAAAACCCCCTCACCTGGGCCCAAAGCCCAACAAAAACCCTCACCTGTGGCCAAAGCTCAGGAAAAACCCCTCATCTGGTCCCAAAGCCCTGCAAAACCCCTCACCTGTGGCCAAAGCCCAGGAAAAACCCTCACCTGTGGCCAAATCCCAGGAAAAACCCTCACCTGGGCCCAAAGCCCTGCAAAACCCCTCACCTGGCTTGTCAAGGGGGTGCAGGTCTGGTTGCTTCTCACTCCCATCACCAAACAAGTGGAGAATGGGGAAAATGTTGCTTCTTTCCTTCTCATTCTGATGGTGATGCTTCTTCAAGAGGACTTCTCGAATTTTCGCCCGTATGCACTCATCAAACTCCTTGGACTGTTCTTGCTGGCCCAGGATCATATCTGGGGACGGCAAAGGGAAATGAAGCCATTGGAGCAGAAACCCCGTCAAGTCCCGACCCCCAGAGCCCCTGGGGAAGGCTGTGGCCACACAGGCCACCCTAACGCAGGCTCAGCCTTGCTTAGCAAGACGTTTTATCACAATTCAGCCTTTGGAGGAAAAGCAAGAATTTTCTTTTGCTAATAAACACCATCTAAGTGCTCATTTATTACTCTCAGGTAATTATTTCCCATTCTAAATAATGTAATTTTCTTGCCCAATGTGGCCTTTCGGTCTGACTCTACACATTTAACCAAACTGGAAGCAATCTACAGCGCAGAGTTTCCCAGAGTTTCCTTGGCTGATCAACTGCCATTTGCCAGCGCCCACAATACCTGCAATCTCTTCGATGTTGTTGGCAGAAACGTCCAGCAGCACTGTGCCGTTGAGGATGCAGCTCCTCAGCTCAAAGAGGCTGTGCAGTGACAGCGTGGCCACGTAGGGCTTGCTCCAGCGCTCGCCACCGTCTTCCACGTCCTCCTCAAACTTCAGCCACCTGCGGGCATCGGGCACCATCAGCCCCATTGCGAGAAAACAGCCCCAGCTCCGCAGCCCCTTGGGTAGAGCTGTGGGGTGGCAAGAGGAGAAGGCTCCACGCAGCAGCACCTGCAGCTGCAAAAGCCTCGCCTGCCGGGGAGCAGACAGCAGAGCCCACGGGTGCTGTTGGCACAGGGTCTCCTCTCCTACCGCAGTCGGCAGCAGAGATTTACCTTGCCCTTTCCTTCCACTCAGCATCTTCACCCTCTTTCACGCAGATCTCATCCAGCTCAGTGAACAAATCATGGGGGATGTGCTGCTCATCTTCCTCGGTCCCGAGGATGAACTGCACCCGCTGGGATGGGGTGTCTGGGGGCAGAAGAAAAAGCCCCATCCTGTTACCGTGCTTGAATATGGCCCGTCACGCTCACATGCAAAGTGGACATGGGTTCAGCCATAAATATCCAGCTGTCCCCTCTCCCCCGGCTCTGTCCAGGCTTGCGCAGAGCCACCAAGTAGAAAAAGCATCAGTTCCACCTCTGCAAAAGGATGGGCAGCTTTTCTTCCCCACATTTCCATTTTTAAAGGCAGGATCCCTCGAAGGAAGGTGACCCTAAATCCATTATGCATTTAACTACCTTAAAGAAAAAAAAAACAACAAACAAAAAAAAACCTGGGAAAAGTTTGGAAAAAGGAGGTCTTGCTAAATAATGTCACTTTTCCTCGGAAGAGCAGCAAGTCACTCCAGCTAGTCACGTGGACCTGTGTGCAGAAGACCCCATTGCCTACATAGCCCTGAGGAGTTTAGTGAAAACTGTGGTGGGACTTACAGTGGTAGCCCTGCTCCACTGGGGCAGAGTCCTTCTCCTGGTCACCTTCCTGGTGCTTCTGGCTGCGGGGTCGGTGGTGCCGGTGGCTCTGCCTCACTGGTGGCATCCACATGCCCACAGACAGGTTCCGGTGGCCTGTGGAAAAGCAGCATTTGCAGCATTCTTGGTATTGTGGGTATGGTTCATGCAGAGGCCACGGCTAAATCAGTGCAGCCGTCCCAGAAGGAAACACCAATTTCTCTTAATTTTGTTTTCACTGGATCATCACAGACCTCTCCTTTTTTTTCCAAGCCTGTTTTACTCGAGCTTTGCAACAACAGAGAAATAACAAGTGATGGCTCCTGGTCATCGGAAAGTGCCCTGAATTATCAAACCTCTTCCCAAACTCCAGATTTGGCTTGACAACACTCAGACTTGCTCATTGAGCAGTGACAGAAGGTCTTTATTTATAAAATCTTTGTATGGCAGAAGGTGAGAAGATCAAATCAGTCCCATGATAAATCACAGCCCCATGCCTGCAGCTGTCAAATCAGTCTCCTGACCTCTCCAAGCCCAGGAGCAGCTGCTGTGGGAAAACAAACCACGGATTATCCAGCCCTGTGGCTAAAACTCACACCGTGGCCTCTGCAGGGGCTTTTCCCCTCCATTTGAGAAACTGTAATAGTAAACAATGTGCAAATAACTGTGCTGCTTCATTAAGAAGCACGGCACGTTTTCCTGCATGTGAGGGGACACTGAGCAAGGGACGTTGTAGGGTCTTTGTGCAGTGGGAAGAGGCGCTGGGCTGGTGGCCCCTCTCTGAGCATCTCAGCAGAGACTCACCTTCCAACTCCTCCATCTCATAGTGAATCCTGACAACACTGCTCACTCCTCCCCGGTCAATTACCGCCTCTTCGTCATGTCTCTGTTCAGCAACCAGAAGAAGGGAAAAGTTGGAGATGGGTGTGTAGAGCTCCCTT